TTTTTTTTCCCCCCCCAAGTTCTATTTGTATCGATGAAGAGCAGAAGCGAAACATTTCAAAAGACTCAAGTCTGAAACAGCTGGAGGATGTTTTCCATCCTAAACCTAGTTTTGGAAACATTTCTAATTCCAACACTGGGCAAAAGTCAGGAAATTTGTTTCTTTCAGTCAAATTGCTCTGGGTTCTACCCTCGACATGTGAACTGCGAAAGGAAATATGGAGCAAATGGACTTTTGGTTCAAACAACTGCGATCTAATACAGGGAGGAAAAACCAGCCACAGCTGTCTCAAGCCTTGAACACCAGCATTTTTTGACAAAAACACACACACATTCTGAAATAGCTTAAAAAAGTCAAAACCAATAGAATCCAAAGGGTTTCATTACAACAACAAAAGGTGAAGTATTAGGCAGCTGTGACTTTCATCTACTGTTTCTTGGCAAGAGAATACAATTAATAGCCACTACCATACCCTGGTCACTGTGGGATGATTTTTTCCTGCATATTTCAAGGAACATCAATTAGAAGACACTGAATTTTGCTGCTGAAGGAGCAACAGCGTGAGCGAAGAGGCAAGAGCAGAGCCTGTGGGGATGCACTAATCCTAACTGCCAAACTAGGGATTCCCAAGATTATTTTGGGCAAGTTGTTATCATATCAAAGCTATAAATCTGGGCTAAATACCATCCATTGCATCACTGAAAATTGGACATGAAAAATGCTGAGTCATTAAGTGCTTTAAGAGATATTGTACGAGTCCCCTGAGCTCCTCTCTAAGGGTCACCTCCAGCATCTGTAGGGACTTAGACTTCCTTACCAGATTGCTGTCCGCTACATAATGCGGGTTGTAGAGTTACAGCTCAAGTTTAACTCTATTATTCCAGAGCGTTGATTCCATCTCAGTTCATATAATTATTTCCCCAAAATAAAATATTTTTTTCCCATAGGTAAAGTAATAGGCATAGGTAAAGTGATCTCAGAAAGACGGTGTGCTCACAATGAGTCAACATTTTACTGTTAAACACAGCAGAATGTGTTTGCCCACAGATCTGAAAAGAAAACTCTTCCAAAAGAACTTACTTTTCAGGCACTACCATTTTATTAAGAGGAAAATTAAGCTGATTACAAAATACTTTCTCACAAAGAGAGAAAGGTAAAAAAGATACAGCCAAAACGAGGCAACACCGATTATGGGTTACAATGAAAGTGCCAGTAATAAATATCATACGTGCATGATGGGAAGCCCTGGTCCTTTCTGACTGAAACAGTGAAAAATCCACTTAACCAAGCAAATTGCAATTAGTGCAGCAGAGCAGCTAACACAGGGAGGAAAATCCCGGGTACAGCACAATAGCATCAGAAGAGAAAGGATATGTATCTGGGATCTGTTGTGAAACAGCATGTAGTGCTGTTGTAAAAGAAGTCTCCCAACTATCTACTTTCATCAGTTGGCTCTCCTGTCACCTTTCAATGTCAAAGAAAAGAAGGCATCTCATTCTCTTTTAACAGATATAATAATGTAACTTTTGACAGTAAGAACACAGGAAATTGCATTTCAAGTGCCCTCAGGGAAGATCCTACTTTGGCTGGGTGGTGGTGGTGGAAATAAACAAACAAATCCACAGACTCCCTCTTTCTTTCAGAAGTCAGAAGAAAGACTAGAAATGTCCTCTTCTCAGCTAGCTACATTCTTCTTTGCCTGGGTAAGGTCCTGCTTGGGGCCACAAGCTCTTTCTATACACGTTTTTTCCCCCGTCTATACCCTGCTCCTTGTACTGCATTCCCAAACTACTTCAAAACTTGCGTGACAAACAAAAATTGTCTACCCTGATCTATCTAGTGATCATCAGAAGCCATCTCACCTGGGATACTCAAGAGCAGCTTTGACAATTACTCCCTATGCTGCGGTATTTTGCGGAGGGTTTACCCTAGAACACAACTTAGTGCAATAACAAACAGCAAAACAAGTATCTACCCTTCCGCACACCAGAGGAACTCAGTGGGGAAGCACCTTCCAACATCAACACCTGAAGTTTAGTTAACGCATCTTGAAATAAAAGTGCTATAGAAACAACAGTTCTGTACCACACACAGAACTCTAACAAGTAACCCCACATGCCCTCAAGGCTATTCTCTCTCCTGTTTACCTACACTACTACTATATGTTAAACAGAAAACACATGTTAATTTAAATCTCATCACAATTTTCAGAAATGTATGCATATCCACACCAGTTTAAGATAAACATTGCTCATGTTCTAGCAATCGAAATAAACCATCGAGCATAGTTAAAATTACCGCATAACGACGAGATGAATAATTATACAGAACAGAAGTAGAATTCAACCTCTGGATTCACAACTTTAATCTATTCACTGGACTATTGGAAAAAGGCTTTGTTCTTCAGCGTGTAGCTACAGTAGAACTGAAAGTTATTGTTCTCATGGGCCATCTGCGCATTAGGACCCCAAACCACTGCTTACAGACAACATGCTGCCCAAAGAACCTGCCACTGTTGTTCAATGTTTCAGATATTAAAAAAACCCCACAACCAAAACCAAAAGAAAAGCATGACAAACAAGAGGGAAAGCAAAGCACAATGTTGCTCACAGCGCACTACCTACGGGCCAACGAACATTCAGAACAACCTATTTAGCTCAAACACTTCACAGCACGTTTGGCGGACAGAACTGTATGCGCCTCTGTCAGTGTACACGCTGACAAAGGGCCATACAATCACTTTTTAATTGTTCACAGCACATGGACAAATTCTGATAACTACTTTAACATCCCTTCATATTCTACTGTTAAGCTCAATAACTTCATAATTAATTAACCATGAAAACTGATACTTGACCATAGCACATTTCTTGCGACTCATTCTGGGCTCATTTGTTAAAAAGTATGACTCCTACTGTGCAGCAAGAGTTGGGCCAACAAGAGTGCATTCTGTCACTTGGGCAGAATGGCAAAATCCAGCCTGAATCATCAGTGTAACCTTCTCCTGTGTTGCCTGTACTTGCTACTAAATTATGTATTGCCTGTCACATCAGGAGTCTGTAATCACTAAAGAAGTATGATAGAAACCAAGAAGAATTCAGACTTAAGAGAGGTTTAGTTTTACACTGGAGATTTGTCACAGGTGTCTGGGTGAAGAGAATATATCTACTGGACATGTACAGTACCTGGTCGTGGTGAATTCAGTTCAGCAAACCTCTTTAGAATATTGCTAACCATCATTGGAGCAGCAACAGAAGAGTTCTGCTGCCTGGGAATGTCAGCCTGTTGCGTTGTACCCGAAGCCATATCATAAATAATTGGAACAATAATACTAACAGCTTCCTGTGGGACTGTTGTTTTCTGTGTTAGCTGGAGCTGCAGGGGAAAAAAAAAAAAAAGAAGCGTGTTAAATGGAACGACCACGTACTTCAGCGCAACCGCCGATAGAGTTAAACACTCTAGGCCTACAGACAGCATGCACTTCCACCCCCTCAGTTTTCAGACATCAATTCTGTAACAGAGAAGTTATCAATCAGGTGTAGACGATTTTCTTCTCAAAAGCACTCTACAGCGAGCACGGCCTCAGCGACGACGCTAATACAGATTTGTTCTAAACACTTCGTTCCTGCTATCCTTTCCTGGCACCGCTAATGTATGCCCCTTAATCTAGGTGGTTAGTGCCTCAAAGAAGAACGAGCACCCAGAAGCTGAGCATTCGAAGATACCTGCGGCCCAGAGGGAACTGAACTTTATGTATTATCAACATCTCTCCAAGAACACAAAACGTGCTTTTATGGGAGGGAGAACAGGAACACTAAGCGAACTCATTACAAAAGAGATGCAGGCAAATCTAGGCTTCCAAATGGCAGAACGTTTTTAGCCGTTACAGTTGTCAGATATAGCATGCTTATGTTTTGCTACTAACCCGTGATGATTTCAAAGACACGCAGCCCACAAAATGATAAAACAGATAGCTCTACTTACGAAAAACAACATTTTGGATTTCAGCACAACAGCAGGTGTTCCTGGAGGCGCAATTGGAGGCGCACTGGGAGGAATTGTTAAACAAAACTGCACATTCCATTTCAGCTGACTTGCCTGATCAGGGAACTGTTTAGAAAGAGCAGCACAGAGAAAGAACAGCAAAGGTCTCACATCAGTGACATACATGGCTACGAACTATGGAAGTGTTAGAAAGTAGAATGTGCCTCTCCAGCTGAACTTGCAGATGTTGCCAGGTTTAGCATAAGTCAGAACAACTCTGAAAGAACTGAGCATTGGGTAAACAAGAACACAATCAGAAAGATTCCAGCCAGCCTGCACATGTGCCCGTTGTGTAATAATGTGCCTGCAGTTTCTCAAAATCATCAGTTTAAACAAGAAATTTTGGGAGTTTCCAGGAGAGCTGGTAGTAAAATGAAAACTTCTTTATTAACACCAAATAACATATATATAAATCTAGATTAATTTATGTGTTTACAGATAAAGATCCAGCACCTTTTTTTTAAAATACAGTAATTGAAGTTGGGTGAACTAAACAGAACAGTTAACTTACCAGCTCAAGTTTCATGATGTGTACACAGTCCCTGAGGATATGCGTTGGAGCCCCTAGTAATTTTGTGAAGGCTATTAGGGTGTTCGCTTTAAAAGGTGGTCCTGCAACCTGAAGAAAGACACTATTTAGTACTGCCTGTTTAGATAATAGCTATTATCATTTAATATGGTAATCAGCATGCACAGGTGTTAATTTCATATTCTGCAGCCCTTACACATGCCAACCAAAGTCAGCAGTACCCCTCAAAACACCACCAGAGGTTAAGAGCAAAGCACAAAAATTTAAACATGAATGATTTGAGTACATACCCTTGTTTCAAAGAACTTCTCCAAAACTTGTAACTCCTCTGATTTCCACTGTCCTGTATTTTCAGGTGTTACTTTCAGTTGCAAGGTCTGGTTGGTTTTGGGATTGAGAGCAACCCTGCACTTCAGTGCCTCCGTCTTAAACATAATTACACCTGGTTCATTCGAGTTTATTAACTGTAGCTGCATAAAAAGAAGTATCACATTCAGTCAGCCGTTTGTTACATAGCATGAACATATGCACACACATTCAGTCCCAAGGCTGTAGTGATGAATCTGCCCTCTTTCCAGAAAGAAACATGTGATATTTGTATACAGGTAAAATTGCCTTGAGAATGAAGCTTATGCAAGCTTTGGCTTCTTTCTCTGTCACTGAATCAATGCCAAAGCAGCGAAGAGGCACACATTGTCTGTCCCACACCCTAAAGCAACGTTCATGACCGAGTAGTTCAGTTATTGTTCAACTAGTAACTAATTTCTTGGGCACTCCTGCCAAGCATCCATAGTAACCCTGTGGCTGTTCTAGTTAACTCCCAAAGGACATGCCAAGCTCACAGAAACCATGGCATCTGAAAATCGGGTCATAGTCTTCCTGTAATTTCAGTTACCAAGTTTCACCTGAGTAAACAGGCTTTCCACTTCTAATTTGTGTCGAAAAGAAGGGGAACTAAATGCTTTTTCTACATGTTGACTCTTTAGATAGCAAGATTCAGAAGTTTGGCACAAGTCACACAGCAAATATTTATTGTATTTGAAGCATTTTGGTTTGTGCCTGATTTGAAAGACTTGGAGTACAGAAGCATGAAAAAGAACAGTTGTGAACTGTTCAGGTCAACATTACACCAACCCAAACCATACCGTTTCCTGTTGTATGATCCTCTGAAGATGCCTCCTCATAATAACTGATCCAAGGAATCGCTCAAGAGGCGAGCAAAGATAGCTGCCAGCTAGTCCCGGCACAAGCCCAGGGGTAGGAGAGGGCAACAGCAGAATATTCAAGGCACTGTGGGTGAGGATTGTAGGTATGGAAGCAGCCCAAGAGCGCTGAGGTAGTTTACGAGGTGGAGGCATGCTAGTCGGCATTGCTTGGGAACCTACGGATATGGAAAAAGTACTTGCAGTAAGGAAGGATTTAGGTCGAAACATAAAATAAATGTTCACTTCATTTGTTGTCACTATACAAGCAATGAGTTCTCTGGGCCAAAGCTTAGTCCTTCTTATTTAAGAATCTGGCTGCCTAGTGATAGGCAACACATAGTCAAAGTCAAAGAATTAAGAGTTTTGACCCTCCACCCACGCAAAGAGTCTCAGTAACATTAAAATCCTACTCCCTTTTCCTCTTTTTGCAGCAGATAGCAGGTCTGTACAACAAACTCAACGAGATGTAAAGGTGGCTAAAGCAGTCGTGCAAGAGCAGCGTGACAACTCTATGACGTATAAACTTAGTATTTGGGTCGGCAAATACGCCTATCGTTGCTTTCATTCCGAAGAATTTTCTCTCGGTCACAGAGCTCAGTAGTTTAAGACTAATTTCTGCAGCGCAACAAGAAGTATCAGTTTTTAAGTTTATGCTGCATAATTTAACTCCAGTTTTCCAATTTGTTATAGAAGCCTTGAACTAGGACAGAATAAAGGCTTCACTTCCTAAGATATTTGACTGCACAAGTGCAGTCAGGACTGTTAAGCTGACAGACAAAACTACCAAAAAGAATTAGAATGTTAAACATGAGTGTTTCACAGTCATAACACTGATAAAGAAGCCTACTTGTTCCAGCTCGTGGGGAATGAGAGGCATCTGGGACAGGTGAATGAAGGGAAGGGTTGGCTGGTGACATTCCAGGCATCCGTGCTGCTGGTGATGGACCAGAGACCTGGGGAGATCCTGGCCAGTTCCCTGCACGCTGACTGGGTGACATCATGGTGTATGGTGAGCTTGGGTCTATGGTACCTACAGGTGTTACAAGACCGTTATTATTTTTTTAAAAAAGTACAAAGTTTTCTAATCTAGAAACCTAAAAAAGGCTTACCAGAATCGGTAAAGCATGAAGGTGTCTGCAAGCTTTTAGATTGCATTTTACAACCATACAAAAACCATAATGGTGTGTGTGGGGAAATCAAGATACAGATTCAAGGGTTTTCGGGTTGTATTTTTTAAAAAGTAAATAAAATTGAACATTAAGGCAAATCAGCATGTTCAACACGTAACAGGTTCTAAACGAAGAAGAGCTCTTGCCTATAGACTTGGACTCCTACAGCTCCTTAGCAAATGAAAGCCTCAGCTAGACTGTTCCTTATCTATCCATTCAGTATCTTGCAGTTATCTTTGCAAAAGTATCTTTGGTTTTGCACTCCGCTATAAAGACTGATTAGAACAAGCTTCTTAAACAGTCTTTTGTATACCTATCTCACTCTGTTCATCTTGACAGTTAAAATGCTGTGCTAAAACGTCAATCTGAACTGTTCATTTATTTTTATCTATGGAATGGTTTCCAACGCACAGCAATTACAACAAACAATTGTTTTGGCAGCTTTTAAAAAAAAAAAATCAATAAAAGAAACAACCAGAAGGTATGTTGTTCGCATACAGGTATGTCAAACCAGCAAGATTTTGACAATGTTTTCAAATTGCAAGTATCTGAATTTCTAACCTGTTCCAGTTATTTTTACAGGAAACGTAAGCACTGAAAATACATTCATTAACTAATCTAACAAGAGACAATGCTTGTTAAAAGCTGCAGCCATTGTTCTGCTACAAGACCACA